GGAGCTGGAGCCAGTGACAAACCCTTGGGGACACTGGGCTGTGACTGTCCCAGTGCCACCCCCAATGTCCCCAATGCCATCCCCAGTGTCCCCAATGCCATCCCCAGTGTCCCCAATGTCCCCAATGTCCCCGCAGTGCAAGCTGGAGCTGCTGGTGGTGTCCCCATGTCCTCCATAGACCTGGAGCCAGTGACAAACTCTTGGGGACACCGGGCTGGGACTGTCCCAATGTCCCCAATGCCATCCACAGTGTCCCCAATGTCCCCAGTGTCCCCAATGTCCCCACAGTCCAAGCTGGAGCTGGTGGTGGTGTCCCCATGTCCTGCACGGAGCTGGAGCCACTGACAAACCCTTGGGGACACTGGGCTGGGACACTGCCAATGCCACCCCCAATGTCCCCAGTGCCATCCCCAATGTCCCCAGTGCCACTCCCAATGTCCCCAATGTCCCTTTTGTCCCTTGGCAGTCCAAGCTGGAGCTGCTGGTGGTGTCCCCATGTCCTCCATAGACCTGGAGCCAGTGACAAACCCTTGGGGACACTGGACCAGGACTGTCCCAATGCCACCCCCAATGTCCCCAATGCCATCCCCAGTGTCCCCAATGTCCCCAGTGCCATCCCCAGTGTCCTCAATGCCATCCCCAGTGTCCCCAATGTCCCCAGTGCCATCCCCAGTGTCCCCAATGCCATCCCCAGTGTCCCCAATGTCCCCAGTGCCATCCCCAGTGTCCCCAATGCCATCCCCAGTGTCCCCAATGTCCCCAATGTCCCTCCCAGTCCAAGCTGGAGCTGCTGGTGGTGTCCCCATGTCTTCCATAGACCTGGAGCTGTTTGGTGGCAAGGACAAACCCTTGGGGACACCGGACTGGGACTGTGCCAGTGCCATCCCCAATGTCCCCAGTGCCATCCCTAGTGTCCCCAGTGTCCCTTTGTCCCCGCAGTGCAAGCTGGAGCTGCTGGTGGTGTCCCCATGTCCTGCATGGAGCTGGAGCCAGTGACAAACCCTTGGGGACACTGG